CCAGCGCTTCACAGCATCACAGCGCTGGCTCAGACCATGGAGGCGCTGCCCTGGCCACGTCGGGGATCCTCCTAGGCTGATGCCTGCGGCGATGCTGGGCACCAGCCCTCAACCCGGACCACATGCTGCTGCGAAAGGACCAGACCCCCAACCGCTGCATCTGCATCTCAGTCCCGAGGCTGCTTCTGCCGCTGGGGCCTGCTGCACCCCAGCTGCACCCGCATACAGGCCCCGCACGCCAGGAGGTGCTCCCCACTACCACTGCCAGACAAACGCAGCTCCCTCGCCCCTTGGGGGCAATGGGGCGGAGGCACAGACGATATTGCTTCTCAGAGCACCCCAGGCACCCACGGGGTGGGGCTCACTCTGACACCACCTGCCCTGCCTCACTCCCCCTCTCCCCAAAAGCCATCTGCTGGGGTCAGCTCCCAGACACACTGCGGCACACACATCCTTGTCTCAGCGTCTGCTTCTGAGGACCCTCCACCCAAGCCAGCATCTTCCTGTGGACTGAAGACAGGAGGCTCTTCCCTCACCAGCTCCTGCTCTGGAGACTTAAAGCCAGGAGGGCAAACTCCAGCTTGGGCTGGGGAGGGGAGGCGTGCAGAGGCCAAAGAGAAGGCCCGTGTCTGGGGTCACAGCTGGGTAACTGTGCTGATGGCCCCTACTAAGGGGAGGCTGGTCCAGGCCGCCACATTCTCCAGGCTTCCAAGAGAAGCCAGAGGGCCAGATATTAAATATGTTTAATATCTGTTTTTCTTTTTCTTAGTTTGAGACAATCTCGCTCTATTGGACAGGCTGGAGTGCAGTGGCGTGATCTTGGCTCCCTGCAAGCTCTACCTCCCGGGTTCAGGTGATTCTCCTGCCTCAGCCCCTCGAGTAGCTGGGGTTACAGAGGCCTGCCACCATGCCTGGCTATTTTTTTAATCTTTAGCAGAGGCGAGGTTTCACCATGTTGGCCAGGCCGGTCTTGAACTCCTGACCTCAAATGATCTGCCCACCTCAGCCTCCCAAACTGCTGGGATTACAGGTGTGAGCCACCACGCCCAGCCTTGTTTTTCTGTTTTAGAGACAGGGTCTCACTCTGTCACCCAGGCTGGAGTGCAGTGGCATGACCATAGCTCAACGAAGCCTGAAGTCCTGGCTGAACCAATCCTGCCTCAGACCGCTGTGTAGCTGGGACTACAAGGGTGCACCACCATGCCAGCTTATTTCTATTCTTTGTAGAGATGGAGTTTTGCTTTGTTGCCCAGGCTGGTCCCAAACTCCAAACTCCTGGCCTCAAGCAATCTTCCTACCTTGAGAAATTACTTCTAAACATGTTAAGACCCCACGTGGCCAAGTCAGGCAGGGCAAGCTGCTGTTTCTCAGTGTGGACTGCAGGACGCACTGCTGGCCTAGCGGGGACCCTCAGTGAGAGGCGTGCCCATTGTCTTGAGCCCAATCCTCCCGTCTGCAAAAAGACTGAGGCTGGAGACACTAAGGGCCTCTGCTTCCACACCCACAAAACAGGGACAAGAACTGCTCTCCCCGCAGAGGGTACCTGCAAAACGGCCACCACCATCTGGCTCCCGGCCAGCACTTGGAGGCGGGAGCTGTCTTTATGGGGGTGTCCAATCTTTAGTGAGGTTCAATTTCATGTCCTGAAGCTGGGGGTGGGAGGCTTAAAGCCACAACCACCAAGTCTCAGTCCAGAGCCAGTCTCCTTGCCATCCTTACACCTGTCCTTGTGGACAGGGAGTCACCTGGAAAGGTCACGCCGCAAAGCCAACCAAGCCCCATGGTCAAGGGGGAAGTCGCGTCTGGGAAGGCCAGGGGCTGTGCCTCAGTGCTCTAAGTGGAACCAGCACGCTCCAGGGCATTTCCCAGCCATGCTGTGCCAGACGAGGTGGCCCCTGTCTTGGCCCAGGGGTATGTGACCCATAGCAAAGCTGCTGAGGTCTCCCAGGGGCAACATGCCTGACATTTCTGACACCTCCTTTCCTTGCAAAAGCACCTTGTTCTTTCCAGGATGACAAAACACTGACACTCAGCTGGCTGACCCTGTTTCAGAAGGACAGGAAACAGAACACCCTGCCATGCCTCGCGGCGTTCAACTCCCCTGCACCCGCAGGAAAACGGGATCTACACCACACAGAAGCCCCAGCCATCAAAGCTCGGGCAAGGGACATGAAGACCTGTCACTCCACCTGTCCCAGTGCCACAGGAAGACAGGGCTGTCACTAACCCAGCATAAGCTCTGCCACAGAGTATCCCTTGTGTTTCCCAGTGAGCCACTCAACGCCCACCCCACTGCACAGGGGAACGCCCACCCCACTGCACAGGGGAACGCCCACCCCACTGCACAGGGGAGGCCGCCCCGTCAGGCCAAGGGTGCCCATGTGCTCCCACCCCAGGTTCCATCAATACCTGCTGCTGGCCCCAAGGAGCCACGGGGTGAGGCTGGTCAAACCAAGGGGGCTTATTCGGTGGGATCTGGTCGTGCGGCCCAGGGCCCCGGGGGCCGGCGGCTGCGGGATCCTGGACCCCTCCTGGGGCTTCGTACTCTGAAGAGCCGGGCATCTGGATGGGAGGCTTGCTGTCATCTAAATCCAAGTGACAGGCTGTTAGAGCAGGACTGGCAGCAGGAAGTGCTGTCTCCTCTCCACACTACCCCAGAGCAAACCAGGCTACGACTTTTAGCGCCCAATGGATGACTGCTTCAGGACCCCACTAAAACCATGACTATTACCGGCCTCCAGGAAGGGGACGGGGAAGAGGGGAGGTTTCGACCTTGAACATGACACACATCTGTCCTTTTCAAAGCTTTACGAGAAACATGCCTCACTTCTGCCCTCTTGGTTTGCTGAAGAATTTCTGTCCACGCTGAATTTGATTAGACGTTTTTCCTCTATCTAATTAACAGACCATTTCCTCACAATCTCTAATTAAAAGATCATTTTCCCACAACCTGTTATGTTCTATCCTATACAACCCTCATGTTCCTGGAACAAATCTTCTTTGATCAGAATGTAATTTTAAAATCCTTTACTAGATTCTGCTCAGATTGTCCGCAGTTTTTTATGTGTCTTTTTCAGAAGCGACCCTAGACTGCGTTTTCTTTTTGAGACAGGGTCTCGTTTTGTTACCCAGGCCGGAGTGCGGTGGTGTAAATACGGCTCACTGCAGCCTCAATCTCATGGGCGATCTGGGTACCTTTCCTCTATTTTTCTCTTCTCTGGGAACAGGAAACAGATCTTTTGCTGTTCAGGAATGGAACAGTTGGAGTTTTACTCTAATGTCACCGGGCTCATGTTTGTAAATGGATGAAAACCTGGGTCTAGGAGCAGGCCTGGGACGATGGAACCAGAGCTGTGTGTGAGGGTGGCAAACTGCTTTCTGACTACACTCAGTGCCCAGCCTCTGGGGACTGCTTCCTGGGGGCGGGGGCTGAGGGAGCCCCATACCGGGCTGGGTGGTGGGCGGGATGGCAGGGGCAGGTGCTGGGGCCGGGGGCGGGGCAGGCGGTGGAGGCGTGGCCTTGACTTCAGCCTCCATCTGCGGCATCTGGAGCTGCTGCTGCTGCTGCTGTTGCTGCTGCTGCTGCTGGGCCAGGCTGGTGACGAACTCCTCGTGCTGCGTCTTGAGGGTCTGGATCTGCTGCTGGAAGGCCAGCTGCACTGGCTGGACCACCGAGGAGTACTCGTTGATGAGGGTGGCCTGGAAGAGAGAAGAGCACCCACTGCTCAGTACATGGCCTTGGGGCTTGCTGTCTGGCGCCAGAGGACAAACGCCTGGAAAGCAGCAGAGCCTGGGGGACCTGGGGCAGGTGGACAGGGAACCGTCATGTGAAACAGCCAACAGTCTGGGCAATCAGAGTGTGTGCTGGGATCTGGCCAGAGATCTGGGGACGAGAATGTTCGCTGCAGCGTGGTTGACAATTCCCTGACCACAGGAACGAGCAATGACAGCTGTGTCCTGGCCGCTGTGTGGCTGCTCAGAGAACGCTGCCCATCAACATTCTGGGACACGCTCACGGGCTCTGCCTCCCACTCGCCATGTGGTTCTCAGCAAGAGGGGCTGCCACAGCCTAAGCCACGTCTGGGCTTCCTCACGCTTCCATCACGCAGGAACATGCCTGACCACCAGAGCAAATGGGCCACATGCAGGGACTCCGAAAGGCCGCCTGGTTCTAGTGTGCCAGGAAAGTCAGGGAGACACACCCAAGGCCTGGGAATGTCACCTGGGACTCTCCAGTCAACACCCACTGGATACTCCTAGCACAAGCAGGGTACATGGGCTCTCCGGCTTCCGGAACCTGCTAGGGTGGCAGCTGCTGTCCCCACACTCCCAAGCCCTCCTGAGGCATCCGCCCCAGCTACAGGGTGAGGCATGGGTGGGCAGGGACACTCACCTGGTACTGACCAAGCCCCAGGGCCGGGCTCTGTAGCTGCTGAATGATGGAGTCATCAAAGTAGCCGTTTTTCTCCCAGAGCTGCAGGAGCTGGGGGTGCGAGGAGAGAGGCTGGGTCAGCGGGGAGCGGGAAGGCCTGCATATCCCGGTCTCACCCAACCCCCGGCCCAGGGCCCACGTACCCGGGCGATCTTCTGCTGTTTATCTTCCTCCACGGCCAGGAAGCTGGTGCAGTAGATGGGCACCACGACTTTCTGCAGGGCGGCCAGCAGCTCCCGGGCCTGCTTGCGCTGGCTGTGAGGGAGAGACTTTCCGCGCGTCAGGGCCCTGGGGCGGGACCCGGCCACGCGCCCGTTACCATCGCGGCTCCAGCCTCAGCGCCCTCTGCCTTCTCGGGAATCGGGTCCCCAACCCGGTCGGGGCAATGGCTGGGCTCCCACGAGACCTGTGCTGGTGCCTGGGCTCGAGGAAGGGGACAGACGGAAAAACAGCAAGCAGGGGAGGGAGAGAATGTGGCCTGGGGCCGTTCTGAGCAAGGCCTTTCAGTCCAGTCCCCTTGAGAGGAAATAACCTTCCCTCCTTCCTTCTTGGGTGGCGCTGTGGATGAAGGGACATGGGGTCCGCAGAAGCCCCTGCCCGTGTGCAATGGGCGGGATGGGACTGCTGTGGAGTGGGGGTCTTGCCCTTGTCACTCGCTATGCACAAGGAAACCTCGGCCCAGGCAAGGCCTCTCGGGAGGAGGAGGGAGGGTACTCAGTCCTTCGGGCACCTAGAACGCTTTAGAAGAGCGACTGGAGGCCCAGTCGGGGGAGGCACTGGGGCCATGTCCTCTCAGGGCAGCGCTGCACTGGACACTGTGCGTAGCGGGCCTGGGAAGCCCCTGCAGCTGCGCAGGGAGATGGTTGCCCCCACGGAGGGACGCGGGACAGGAGGGGAGCAGCTCGAAGTCCCTCAACCCCCAGCTTGCCGCAGGGAGCTCAGGGGAGCAAAGGTCTGGGCCGGGCAGCCGGGAGGACGGACGAGCAGCACATGGCTTCGGACAGAGTGGAGCTAGAGAGGCGCGTAGCTGGAGAATGTAGGAAACGGTGCATCCATGCAAGGCGCCCCTGATTCAAAGGCAGGGAGAAGTGGAGGCCGGAGCAGAAGGGCAGAGGTGGTGCGGAGCCGCAGCTCACTTCCCAGCAGGAGAGAAACAGGGACTGAGGTGGGGACAGAAGAGGGACTCAGGCAGTGCTGCATGTGGCAGATGGGGCGAGATGGGTGCTGGCAGCTTGGACCAGCGCAGAGGCGCAGAGGCGCCTGGCCAAGACTGCTGCCTGCTAGGCTCAGTAGCAGTGCTTATCTCCTCCTGTGTGCGCAGGCTTTTGGCCTGGGGTTCCATTGGTTTTTTTTTTTTTTTTGCTAATTTTTGTGAGAAGTGCCCCAGTGACCCTGTAGAAGGAAATACTCAACCAACCTTGGGGAGGGTGGAGACAGCAACAGTGGGAAGGGGTGAGGGCTGGGTGGGGACAGAGGGTCGGCAGAGGTGTCTCTGTTGAAGTCTGAGAGTCGGATCAGGGCTGGAGAAGGGGACCCCAAAGGAGGGTCCCGATGGCTGAGCAGAGTCAGGTGCACGCGTGTGCACACGTGCAAATCAGTGATGAGGGCCGGAGACAGACACAGAGGCCAAGGAGGCCGTGGCCGAGAAGGCAATAAGGAGACACCAAGAAGCTGCCCCAGGAGAGCAAGGAGTGCAGGGGACAGTGGCCCCGAGGAGGCAGCAATGTGACAGGTGAGGCTGGGGTCTAGGGGAGAGGACAGGGCATGCAGCGAAGGTGCACAGGATGCCTAGACCCTGCAGTCCTGCAGACAGAAGCCTGGCGGCTCACAGAGACCACTCGGCCCGGGCTCCCTGGACAAGTGCCCCCTAGTCTTGGGACAGGCCAAGCCAAGCTACTGATTGGAGCAAGCGGCCACCCAGGAGGGGTTGAGGAGGAGCGCAAGGAAGCGGCACTTTGGGCACGGGGCAGTGGTGCTCACCAGTGGTGCAGCACGTCGTTGATCAGGTAGATGAGGTGCAGCCGCAGCTCAAAGTGCGCCCCGTCAGCCGTGATGCGGTTCCGGAGGTGGCCGGCCATCAGCTCACAGTGCGGCGGGGACTTGGCATTGCTGAACATCCAGTTCTTCCCGGCCTGCAACAATCGAGCCGATGACAAGTGAGCAGGGTGCTCACGGCGGGAGGGAAAGGTACCTATCGTAACAGCCCTTAGCCCAGACTGGCTGCGGCAGGTCCTGCCTCAGGGCAGGACCAGGGGGAAGCTGCACTCTGGGAAGCCCCGGCCCCTCACCGAGATGGCGTCCTTGGTGCACGTGTCGATGATGGGCTGTAGCAGGTTGTCAAACTCGTTCATGTCTAGTTGGGTCTCCTCTAGAAGCTTCTGCATCTGCTGTTCCACCGCGTGGGCCACAGCTGCTGTCACTTGCTCCTGGGTTGGGGGTCAGTGGGGCCAAGAACACATGAGGAGGGACCCGCAGCCCGAGCCCTCCGGCCTGGCCCAGCAGGGGCGGGGTGGGGACCTGGTGGGGATGCCCCGACGCTGGGCTGCTCTGGCCATCAGCTCCCTTGCTTGTCCCCAGCACGAGGAGATTCTGTCTCTCATGCCTGCCATGAATCTGTGACAGTCCCTCCCAGAGTGGGCAGGGCACTGACAGGACATACCAGGAGAGAACACCTGCCCTCCAGGTAGCCAAGGAAAATACGGCAGCCCAGAGGAACAAACAACCTCTGCAAACCAACTTAACAAAAAACAAAGGCGGGGCGCGGTGGCTCATGCCTGTAATCTCCGCACTTTGGGAGGCTGAGGCAGGAGGATCGCTTGAGCCCAGGAGCTCCAGACCACCTGGGCAACATAGCGAGACCTCATCTCTACAACAAATAAAATACAAATTAGTTGAGCATGGTAGCGTGTGCCTGTGTTCCCAACTACTTGGGAGGCTGAGGCGGAAGGATCGCTGGAACCTAGAAGTTCAAAGTTACAGTGAGCTTTGACTGTACCGCAGCACTCCAGCCTGAGTGACACAGCAAGACCTTGTCAACAACAACAACAACAACAACAACCAAAAAAAAAAAAAGAAAAGAAAAAGGAGGGATGGTGTGAACAGGCAATAGAGGGAGAGGACACACCCATGGCCTCTAGTGAAACAAAAAGGGAGCAATCTCATTCCTCAATA